GAGAAATCATTGAAGACAGTGACGGGAGCAGCACTAATGTCCTTATTTTCAAGAAAGGAGAAAAAGAAGTACCTGAGAACTACAGACCAGTCAGTCAGACATCAATCCTGGGAAAATTCTGGAGCAGATTATAAAGTAATAAGTCTGAAAACACCTTGAAAGCAATGCAGTGATTACTAGAAAACAACATGCATTTCTCAACAACAAATCCTGCCAGATTAATTGGATTATATTTCTGTTGGGTAACCTCCCTGGTGGACTGTGGGAATGCTATGGACTTTATCTTGCATTCAGCAAAGCTTCTGACAAAGTTCCCCATGTCCTTCTGATGAGCAAACTAGCTAAAAGTGGGCTACAGGAAAGAACTATCAGGTGGATCCACAGTTGCATACAGAATCAGATTCAGAGAGTGCCCATCAATGGGTCCTTTTCAGACTGGGGAGAGGTAACAAACAGGTGGATTACTGCAGGGTCTTGTCCTGGGCCCAGATCTCATCAACATTTTTGTTAGTGACTTGAATGAGGAAGTGCAGGGAACAATTATCAGATTTGCTGATGACAAAAAACTGAGTAGGATAGCTAATACCCTGGAAAACAGAAAAAAGATTTAAAGTGATCTTGATAAGTTGGAGCATCAGGCTGAAAACAGCAGAAAAAAATTCATTAGGGACAAATGCCCAAGTTCTGCACCTAGGAAAAAGAAACCAGATGCATTGTTAAAAGATGGGGAATACTTGGCTGAACAATACTGCAAGTGAGAAGGATCTTGGGGTTGTTCTAGATCACAAGCTGAATATGAGCCAAAAGTGTAATGTGATGGCAAAAAGGGCAAATTCTGTTTTAGACTGCATTAATAGGAGTAATGCAGCCCCTTCATGGATCACTGCCTTGTCGTGGCGAAGGGGCTTGCGTAGCTCAATGAAGCTATGAGCTATGCCATGCAGGACCACCCAAGACGGACAGGTCATAGCAGAGAGCTCTCACAAAAGGTGATCCACTGGAGAAGGAAATGGCAACCCACTCCAGTACCTTGCCATGAAAATCCCATGGACAGTACCAAAAGGCAAAAAGATATGAAACCGGAAAATGAGCCCCTCAGGTCGGAAAGTGTCCAATATGCTACTGGGGAAGAGCAGAGGGCTAGTACTAGTAGCGCCAGAAAGAATGAAGCGACTGGGTCAAAGCTGAAAGGACTCAGTTGCTGATGTATCTGGTGGTGAAAGGAGAGTCCGATGCTGCAAAGATCTATATTCCATAGGAACCTCGAATGTAAGATCCATGAATCAAGGCAAGCTGGATGTGGTCTAACAAGAGATGACAAGACTGAACATCGACATCTTAGGAATCAGTGAACTAAAATGGACAGGAATGGGTGAATTTAATTCAGATGACCATCAGGTATACTACTGCAGGCAAGAATCCCTCAGAAGAAATGGAGTAGCCTTCATAGTCAATAAAAGAGCAGTACTGGGATACAAGCTCCAAAATGACAAAAGGATCTCAGTTCGAATCCAAGGCAAATCATTCAACATCACAGCAGTCCAAGTCTATGCCCCAACCTGGTGCTGAAGAGGCTGAAGTTGACCGGTTCTATGAAGGCCTACAACACCTTCTGGAATTAACACCAAAAAGTGATGTCTTTGTCATCATGGGGGATTGCAATGCTAAAGTAGTAAGCCAAAAGATAACCGGAATAACAGGCAAGTTTGGTCTTGGAGTACAAAATGAAGCAGGGCACAGGCTGGTAGAATTTTGGCAACAGAATACGATGGTCTTAGCAAACACTCTTTTCCAACAACCCAAGAGACAACTCTACACATGGTCATCAGCAGACGGTCAACACAGAAATCAAATTGACTATGTGCTCTGCAGCCAAAGATAGAGAAGCTCTGTACAGTCAGTAAAAATAAACCAGGAGCTGACTGTGGCTCAGATCATGAGCTTCTTGTTGCAAAATTCAGGCTTAAATTGAAGAAAGTAGGGAAAAGCACTAGGCCACTCAGCTATGACCTAAATCATATCCCTGGTGAATATACAGTAGAGGTGACAAATAGATTTAAGGAATTAGATCTGATAGACAGAGTGCCTGAAGAACTATGGATGGAGGTTCGCAACATTATACAAGAGGTAGCAACTAAAACCATCCCAAAGAAAAAGAAATGCAAGAAAGCAAAATGTCTGTCTGAGGAAGCTTTACAAATAGCTGAGGAAAGAAGGGAAGCAAAAGGCAAGGGAGAAAGAGAAAGATTCTCCCAATTGAACACAGAATTCCAGATAATAGCAAGAAGAGATAAGAATGCCTTCTTAAATGAACAGTGCAAAGAAAACAATAGAATAGGGAGGACCAGAGATTTCTTCAAGAAAATTGGAGATACGAAGGGAAGAAGGGAAAGGGAACGTTTCATGCAAAGATGGGCATGACAAAGGACCAAATTGGCAGGGACCTAAGAGAGGCAGAAGCAATTAAGAAGAGGTGGCAAGATTACACAGAAGAACTAGACAAGAAAGAGCTTAACTTCCCTGATAACCACAATGGGGTGGTCACTGACCTCGAGCCAGACATCCCGGAATGTGAAGTCAAATGGGCCTGAGGAAATCTGAGCAACAGCAAAGCTAGTGGAGGTGACAGTATTCCAGCTGAGCTATTCAAAATCCTAAAAGATGATGCAGTTACAGTGCTATACTCAATATGGCAGCAAATTTGGAAAACTCAACAGTAACCACAGGATTGGAAAAGGTCAGTTTACATTCCGATCCCAAAGAAGGGCAATGCCAAAGAATATTCAAACTACCACACCATTGCACTCATTTAACATGCTAGTAAAGTTATGCTCAAAATCCTACAAGCTAGCCTCCAGCAGTATGTGGACTGAGAACTACCAGAAGTACAGGCAGTGTTTCGAAAAGGCAGAGGAACTAGAGATCAAATTGCCAACATATGCTGGATCATGGAGAAAGCTATCAAGTTCTAGAAAAACATCTGCTTCATTGACTATGCTAAAACCTTTGATTGTGAGGATCACAACAAATTGTGGCAAATTCTTAAAGAGATGGGAGTACCAGACCATCTTATTTGTCTCTTGAGAAACCTATATGCGGGTCAAGAAGCAACAGTGAGAACTGGACACGAAACCACTGATTGGTTCAAAGTTGAGAAAGGAGTTCAGCAAGGCTGTATACAGTCACCCTGCCTATTTAACTTATATGCAGAGCACGTCATGAGAAAGGTGGGGCTAGATGAATCACAAGTTGGTATTAACATTGCCAGGAGAAATATCAACAACCTCAGATATGCAGATGATACCACTCTAATGGCAGGAAGTGGAGAGGAACTAAAGAGCCGCTTGATGTGGGTGAAGGAGGAGAGCGCAAATGTTGGCTTGAAACTCAACATTAAGAAAACTAAGATCATGGCATCCAGTCCTCTCACTTCCTGGCAAATAGATGGGGAATAAATGGAGGTAGTGACAGATTTTATTTTCCTGGGCTCCAAGATCACCGCAGACGGGGACTGCAGTCAAGAAATTAAAAGACGCTTGCTCCTGAGGAGGAAAGCTATGGCAAATCTAGACAGCATACTAAAAAGCAGAGACATCACCCTGCTGACAAAAGTGCGTATAGTCAAGGCTATGGTTTTCCTAGTTGCAATGTATGGCTGTGAAAGCTGGACCATAAGGAAGGCTGAGCACCAAAGGATTGAGGCCTTTGAATTGTGGTGCTGGTGGAGACTCCCTCGAGTCCCTTGGACCGCAAGGCGATCAAACTGGTCAGTCCTATAGGAGATCAACCCTGACTGCTCTTCAGAATGCCAGGTACTGAAGATGAAACTCACATACTTTGGCCACCTAATGAGAAGGAAGAAGAAGGGGATGGCAGAGAATGAGGTGGCTAGATGCAGTCACTGAAGTAGTTGGTGTGAGCTTAAGTGGATTCCGGGGGATGGTGGAGAACAGGCAGACCTGGAGGAATGTTGTCCATGGCGTTGCGATGGGTCGGACACGACTTCACAACTAACAACAACAACAGGAGTAAAACCTCCTTATCATGCAAAGTACTAGTTCCCCTTTTCTCAGCACTGGTTAGGCCTCATCTGGAGTGCCGCATCCTGGGCACCACAGTTTAAGAAAGAAAGATGCAGACAATCTGGAAAGGGTTCAGAGGAGGGCAACAAGGATGGTCCAGGGACCAGAAACAAAACCCTATGAGGAGAGATAGAAAGAACTGGGCATGTCCAGCCTCCAGAAGGGAAGACTGAGGGAGATCCCTCAAAGGCTGTCTCAAAGACCAGGATCTCTCCAAAGAGGAAGGCCAGCGGGCAGGACTCGAATGAGGGCGCAAGTTGCAGGAAGGCAGGTTCCAGCTGAACATCAGGGGAAACTTCCTGGCTCTTTCAGCAGTAGGGCAAGCGGGCTCTCCACAGGAGAGGCCTGCTGGGCAGCCATCGGAGGGGGCGGTTAAGCGCGGCCCCGCGCGGAGCGGGGCTTGGCCTCTGCCCTCCGGCCCGCCATGGTGCTCGAGCGCCAGGGGCCAACCGCGGGCCGAGGCAGACGGTTTGCCCCCCGCTCCCAGCAGCCCTGCAGGCAAGAAGCACTCCGGGAGGTCCGCGGGACCCCGGCCAGCGAGGGCGCCCCGCGAGAGGCCCCACAACCCGCGGTCGACGGACCGATCGGGCGGCGAGCGACCTTCCATCTCCGTGGCGCTCGCCCTCCCCGCCGAGCCCACGTGCAGGTGGCGCCGAGCCGAGCCGCGCCGAGCCGCGGCGGGCGGGCCTCCCGGAGAGCCCTCGCAGGAGAGCGCGGCTGGGGAGCCCCCTCCCCTTGCGCTGCCGCACAGGCGGGCCGGGCGCCGAGGGTGAGGCTGCTCCGGGCGGCAGCGGCGGCGCGGAGAGGCGCCTGCCCGCGCACCGCCTCGTGTGTCCTCGGCCTCGCGGCCCGGGAGCGCCCATCTCCGGCGGGGCCGGCTTTCCGCAGGTCCGTCCCACCCCCCACCCGAGGGCCGCCATGGGCTCCCGGCTTAGCCGGCAGAGTAGCCTCCCCGAGGAGGAGGCGACGCGCACCCCCCGCCGCGGCAGCCGCTGTCCGGGCAGGTCGGAACTGCCGCCGCCGCCGCGGCGCCGGAGCCCTGACTTCCAGCTTGCCTCGCTCGTGCTCAGCTCCGAGAAGCTGCCCGGGCTGCTGCGGAGGAGCCGTCCCGCGCCCTACGTGAGGCGGGTGGGCTGGATCCGCGAGATCCAGGCGACGCTGCGTAACCGCCAGCGGGAGCGCGCCGTCCAGCTCCTGCGGCTCCTGCGGAAGGTAAGCGAGGCTGCGGCGCCCGGCC